GTTAATTTAATTCTTTGTCTCTCTTTGTCTGATTGCTCTGTGTTAATTTAATTCTTTGTTTTCTGTTTCACTTCTCAGTTCTGCGTTTGTATTTGTGTTTGCCTGATCTCGTCCTTTATTTTTAGTTCAGCTTTTATCTCCTACTTGGCTTTGATGGTTCTCTTGTAAACAACGTGTGTTTGAGGACTTTTTCTTTTAAACCGAATCTGAGGAAATTAGGGGAGTATAACTTATTCACATTTGATATCATTTTTAAAATGCTTGATCTTACTTTTAGTATTTTGTTTCATGACTATGCACTTTCTTTCTCTTTCTATTTCTGGGTCATTTATTGCTTGACCCAGACTGTCCTTTTCTTTCTCTCGTGCCTCGGGGGTGTATGCTTGGTGCCTTCCTCTTCCACACTCCAGGGCGCAGGGTGTACAGCACAGGCAGCAGTCTGCTCATAAAGCGAAGGGAACTATTTACACTTGTTGTGATTTCATGTGGTCAGTGGAGAGCTCCATTTATCCATGGCATGTGGGGCAAAAGCCAGAGCTTGAGGTGCTCTCAGCAATGCCATTAGCTTTGCCACTGTTTCAGAGTTTTTTTGTGCTCCTGGCTGCCACACTGCCTTCACACTATGCCAAGTCTGCCCTTATCGGGGCAGAGGGATAACCCTGTGACTTTCTAGGGATGCTGGTGGAATTTGAACTTCCCCTTCCTGGAGATTCCCACCACCTACTACAAAGACTCTACTTTGCCTCAATAGATCTACCCCTCAAAGTACACCATTCTACAATCCAAAGGCTGAGAACCTCACTGGAAAGGTGCCCTTGAGCCAGATCAGCTCATATTGCCCTAAGCTGCCAGCCAGTTCCCATGGCTGACCTACTACCTGAGATATGACACATGGAGATAGGCTTTTGAAAAATTTATGGTCATGGGTGGAGCCTGTGGCTCAAAGAGGTAGGGTGCTGGCCCCATATATGGAGGTGGCAGGTTCAAACCTGACCCCAGCCAAAACAACTGCAAAAAAAAAATTATGGTGAACACATACATACATTTAACATCTTAGGCCATTTTAAAATACAGTTCAGTAGTATTAAGTTTATTCAGGGTATTGTGCAGCTAATCTCCAGAATTTTTCCATCTTGCAGAACTAAAACTCTATACCCATTAAAAACAACATTTTGTTTTCCCCTTCTCCCATCCCCTGGCAACCATCATTCCCTTTCTATGTCCAGAAATTTGACAATTTTAGGTATTTTATGTAAGTGGAATCGTGCAGTATTTGCCTTTTCGTGTCTGGCTTATTTCACTTGGCATATTGTCCTCCAGGTTCGTACCTACGCTATAGCCTGTGTCTGAATTTTCTTCCTTGTAAAGGCCAAGTCATGTTCATTGCCCGTATGTGCCACACTCTGTCATCTGTCCATCCGTGCACACAGGGTTGCTTCTGCCTTTCTCTGCTGTGAATAATGCTGCTATGGACCATGAATATGCAAATGAGGGGTGATGGGTTTGCCGGGTGCTTCTCCAACTTCCTCTCCTGCCGATCCTCCCAGGGACCTGCTTAAAATGCCGATTTCAGCTCAGTGAGCCTGGAGGGGAGTGGAGAGCTTGGCTTTCTGACAAGCTGCCGGTCTCTTGCTCCGTGGCCACTTTTGGGTGGCAGGACTGTACTCTCTTGGCTTGGGCATGGCTCTGACCCTCACTAGCTTTGGAAACTTTGTCCGGTTTCTTCATCTCCCTAAACTATTTCCTCTGCATAAAATGAGAATAAATAGTCTCTCCTTCATCTGTTTCTTGTGAGGATGAAATGTTCTCCTAGGTCTAAGTTAGTATAGTGACCAACACAGATCCCAAGTGCTTATGAATTTGTGGTTATTTTGAATATTCTAGTACGCAGAAATCTATCTGGATGCACTCATGGGAGGAGGCACTGTGACAGGACTCTTGCTCAGTTATCTAATATGGAAGCAAAGACTAATATTAAATCTCAGGTTCCAGGTCAAGAAAAAGAGGAGCTTGGGAGGGGGGGCTCTCATGAATAGGGGTGCTTTGGTGAGCACCTTGTTTACCAGTTGTTCCTAAACGATTGCCACCACCCTCCAGGCCATGTGGCCACCAGCACCACAATTATTTGTGAAGTCATCATTCCCGACTGGTGGGGCACTTCCAGGAACTGGTGACCTTGTCTATTCTGCAGAAGCCAGGCTGTCAGGAAATCCCCTCTGGACAGAGCTGGCCAGCGCGGCTGGTCTGGGCCCTTACACAGAGCCCCCAGAGGGAGGTCCACCCAGAGCTCTATGTTCCTGTGAACAGTGAACCCCCAGCTCAGTGTCCTGAGCCCCTGGCAGGGTGACACTCCCTGAGAGTTCTCTCAGCACTCAGAGTGCACGACAAAAGGCAAGTGTTGGGGTCTCACTGTTCCCCACACCCGGGTGATGTGTGTACTCAGGATGGCAAGATGGGTCCCAAGGGACACCAAGGCCAGCAGGACACACGGACACACCACTGCCAGAGACCGTACGGAGCACTTGACGTGCCTAGGCACATATTGTCATTCATAATGTGAGAAACTAGTGAGAATCGGAGGCAGAATCGGAGACTCTTCAATCCCTGGGGTGTCTGCAGCAGCTCTTCTGTTCAAATCTGGGTCCCACGACCTGGTGGCCAGCCCTTTGTACCTTCTTTTTTTTATCATTTCATCATCATCATTATTATTAATTTCTGATTAACATGGGGTATAAATGATTCGGTTACATTGTTTGTGTTTGTTAGGTGACGTTCAAGTTGAGCCCTTCACCCAAGGGTGCCCATTAGGAGAGAGCTTCACAAATCTGGGCTGGTCCAGGTACTTACCGGGGCCACCCCACACCCTGGCCGCTTCACTGCTGCCAGTTACTTTTTCCTTCGCAATCTCCAATGACTGTAGGGCTTAAAATAAAAAGTAGGTTATTCTCACAAGAAGCTGTGAATCCTCCCTGGACAATGGAGAGGCCTTAGGTAACAGGGTTGTGGAAGCAGCACTTTGCAAAGATGTGCCCTGAAAGTTCTCGATGATCATCATAAAGATTCAAGAAATCTTCAAAAAGCAATGTTTCCCCAAAGTAGCCTCACATCAAAGGACAGGCTGCTTAGAAAGGCAGTTTCCTGCACCTCACCCCCCACCTGCTAAGTTAGATTGGAGATAGAGGAGGCAAGTGACCCCAGCTCTCACACAGACTTGAAATACTCTGTATTAAAATGACATAAACCTTGATTTTAATATACAAATGCCCGTGGCAAGGCTCCAATTCTTTAGTGACTCGGAAAACAGAGAATGAGATCTTGACCTGGGAGAGCTCCCCAACAGTGACCACTGGTGGTCACATTCGTGGGGGCTGTCTGAGTCTAATTGTAGCCATGAACCTGGACAGAGAAAGCTTCTAGTGGCCACCCCCTTACCGCTCCCAAGCCCAGGGAGGGTGGAGGCAGGAATGCAGGGAAGAACCTTCCTGCTGTCTGGGCACAGAGCCAAAGCGGCCTCCGGGGAAGCCGGACAGGAACCAGCCCTATACATTGACTTTGCACCTTCAGTTCCTGCTTGTTTAAGTGTATCTGAAACAACCTCTGCAAATACAGCAGCCACTGGGCTTTTGAAATTCCAATCACCATCTGTCATTCCCCTGTTTATTTCATTAAGGACATAAACGGTCAGGTTCATGGCCCCTCCTCACTTCCTCCGGACTCTAGTACTTTCCTCAGCCAGCGTCCCCCACACAAGGAGGGGGACATGTCAACCTCCCAGTGAGATTTAGTAAGGGGAGGGAGACAAGCCACGGGAACTACTCACTGAAGGGGCGAGGTGGGTCACAGGAGGTAAGAAAGAGAGAGGAAAAGTGCTCAGCACTGACAGACAGCCCCTTTCCTGGGGTGCCTGCTGACCAGGTGACGCGATGCTGACGGGGACGATCACAGGGTTGGGAGCCCAGCTAGCTGGGTTGATTCCTGGCTCTGCTGCTGAAGACTGTGTGACTTCAGGCGAGAGACCGGACCTCTCTGTGCCTGTGCTTTCTCATCAGTGAGCGGGGACAGCAGCAGCACCTACCTTTTACGTGGTCCTGGCACATGGTGCTTAATACGTCTCAGGAATTATATTTGTTAGTGGTGTAATGAGAGGTAACTAGAAAATAACAGCAGGCACCCCTGATGGCAGAATGAGCTCTGTCTCTGCAAGTGGTCACGGGTGTGTGGAATCCACGTTAAAGGCCACACACATCTCTGTGGGCAGTGGTTATCCTGGAGGACTTCAAAGAGCTGGGCATTGCTGCTGAGACTTGAAGGGAGTTGGACTGGGAGGCTTGTCCCAGAAAACCCTGCCTGCAGGCAGGTGGGCTGGGGAACCTGCGTCGGGGTGAATGAGGGGTAGGCTTGGTTACGAGCTGCAGCATTTCTAGGGAGCCTATTGGCAAAGCCGATCAATGCCAGTGCTTGAGCAAAAAAGCTACCTGATGGAAGGGGATGAGCTGCACAGGAGTGAGCCAGGTGGCAGTGTGCAGACAGATGGGTCCAGGTAAATGACAGCACCAGAACAGCATGATGCCCCATCCCTGAATAGCACTTACTGTGTCATCAAATAGTCTCATCGATGTACATTTATGAATCATTTGATCATCACAACAACCTCATGAGGTAGGCTATATTGATCCCCGTAGTGCAAGTAAGGACGGTAGTACAAGTAGAGATGGAGGCATAGACAAGTTAAACTTCCCCAAAGTCACTCAGCCACTTTGTGGTGGAACTAGGATTTGAACTTATGTCTCCAGAGTCCTTGCTTTTCACCACTATACTGTATAATACTAACTAAAACTTATTAAGAGCTCACTATGTGCCATACTATAATTAATTTAGTTCTCGTAACAATCCTATGAAGTTGGTACTATTATTATTCCCGTTTTACAGAAAAGAAAACTGAGGCTATGAAACTTCCCCAAGGTCACATAACCACATAGTAAGTGGCACAGCCTTGTACCCACTGACTCGAGCTGGCTCTCTTAGTCCCTGCCACAGAAACCAGCAATAAAGCCATCCAGAATAAAAAGGATTAGAGGTAGAAAAAATAATTTCTGAGAATGAACAATGGTTCAAACAGACTTAATACAGTGGGAATACTGAGGTGGGGAGAGGCTGGGTGTTAAGAAAAGGTCCTGAGATTTGTGTCAAAGGTCACTGGAGTGATTCAGAGGTTAAGTCTTAGGGAGATAGTACAAGCTTAGAACTTTATAATTTATATTTCTTGATGGGATCCAAACCATAGGAACTCTGAGAAACTTAGTGGTCACTTTTTCTGGTTCTTGGTCTAGAGACTGGTCTAAAAAATGAATCCCCAGGTCACACTGCAACGGTGACTCCTGTTCTCCCCACCATTCAGTTGCTATGTGGCAGGGTCCCCTGAGCACGTGGTGCTAACTCTGAATCTGTGGCCTTAAGCTCAGCTCCATGTAGCATATGTGAGCAGAAAGCTGCAGTGAAAAGACTTCTCTAACTAACACTAGTTGATGGTTTTCTCAAACAATCTTTCAGATTCTCCAGGAATGGGAACTTGCTGATGAAGAGCCACTAAGGCCAAAACGAGCAGGTATGTGAAGTCTTTGCTTGGCAAGCTCTTCCATGGGTCTGAGCAAATGACAAAGTTACAACTCGTTTAAGGACTGTGATCCACATAATTCAGTCTCCAGGCACAGCAGGGCCAAACAGTGCAGTTCGATTGCTAAAAGTAATTACAAAGCAATTTCATTCTCTATCAGATGACGTTAAATGGATCATGGAGACACATACAGCCCCTGTCCTCCCCTGCCATCGTAACTGCTTCTCATATCCCTGAGTTCTCTCTGCCACTCTCTCCTCAGCTGCCCTCCACACCACCAAACAGCCTACTGTGCTCCCAGCCCAGACTCCTTCCCTTTGCCCCTTCCCCCCACACCTTTTTTTCACCTTCTCTCATGCAACATTTTATTTTGTGGATCAACTTAACCACTAGGCTCAAGTCCTTCTCTTCTGTTCCCCATTCCAATATTTCCACTAAACTCCAATTAAGTGGTCTAGAAAATATAATACTCTGCCTCTGGAGGGCTGGGAGCAGGGGGTGAGCTGTGACCCTTGAGTCTCACCCCAAATTGACCCCACCCAGCTGTCAGAGTATGTCTTCAAACTGGATGTTCCTGGGACCTGGTCTTCCCACTGTTGAGTCCGGTGCTCACAACTCAACAGGCCTCCAGGTGTTTCCCAGTTGATCCCTCCATTCTGTTCAGACAGAGGATGCCCTGCCTATCAGCCCCATTTGTCTGATTAGGGGACTCCTACGTAAGTCTCAAGTCACATGGCTCCTCAGTGTAAGGCCTTCCATGGATTCCCCGGAGCTTCGGGAATATTCGTCCCAAAGTTGGAATCAGTTCACTTCCTGCTTGCCACCCCCAGTGGACGTGAGCTCCCTCGAATTGTGTTCCTCTCCGTAGCCTGGCGTCCAGCCCAGTCTCTCGCTCAGTAAGTGAGTGAACAGATGAAGTACTCACACTTCCACTTCACTGCTGCCCCTTCCTGAGCTCCTCTCAGGAAGGGTCTGCTGGCCGACGACCAGTGTTCCAGAAGGTAAAAGTTCATAACCTATCACACTGTGATTGAATCATTTTCGGCATGTGTAGCTCCATCTAGTCAGTCCTGTGGTCTAAAAGGCACATGAGGCTTCTGAGGAGAGAGGGCCTGCCCTGAGGTCGGAGGAGAGGCATCCATCAGAGCTCTCCAAGGCACGGTGACCAGATCCACCTGCTGCCCAGTGCGTGAAATGAGAGTGTGACTGCATTGTATGAATGCTCACTGGAAGGTCACACACTGCTGGTTTTCCTTCCCTCCCCTCCTGTCCCCTTCCCTCTGTGCCATCCTTTCTTCTCCCCTTCTCTTCCTATTCTGTTCTGTTTCAGCCTCACTTTGTGAGTCCTGTGGACTCCTGCTCTCCCTCCTTCCCTCCCCCCTGCCCTCCCTCCCTCTTTCCCTCCCTCTAGTGGGCTTAGCTCAGCTTGTCCTTTCAGGGCTCTGCCGTGAGCATTGCCACCTTGGCCACCTGACCGCCCCTTCAGCCTCCCTGCACCCTGTGACAGAGCAAAGCCATACGTGTGCCCACTTGGTCTTATGAAAGATTTTATTTATTTATTTATTTTAATCAAACTGCTGGCTGGCAAGTTCCAGATCCAGGTTTCTGCCAAGTCTTTTGGAGCTCAGGCCACCACCTTCCTCGGAAGCAGCTGGTGACCGTGCAGCTGTAAAAGTAACATCTTCCTGCACGTCCCAGCCCTGCTGTTGTGTCCCATGGTGACAGTGTGAGAGCATAGCCCTTGGGGAGGAAACCACTTCTACATCTAAGGATTTGACATTCCAATATTTTCCAGGCATACTTTCATTAAAAACAATCCTGGTGATGATAAATCACCACGAAAACATGTTTTCTGTTTATGATACGTGGACCTCTGTGTTCTTGGGCTTCTGGAGTCATTTGGGAAGTGTTAATGAATCAACCCATCATCTGCAGAAGACGGATTGGTCTTGGTACTTTTACAAAATCACTAAAGCAAGAAATGGCCATGGAAAGGTCCAGGCCCCATATACAATTGTCCATGGAGGATTGGTGGGTGCCAGGGCCCCCTCAAGTACCAAAAATCTTCAAATCTTCTCCTATGTGCTTTAAAGGATCTCTAGATTGTGGGCCACCTGCAGCTTATATCAGGACTTTACTTCACTGTGGTGTCAGATATCATGAAAATTATGCACAGACCTTTACCGATTGATTGATTGATTCGTTCATGTTGCTCGTCAGCTTTTGTCAGTGTTTGTGTAGGTCACGTGTGACCCAAGACAATCTTCTTCCAAGCTTAGGATGTGTGCTGCCGAAGCAAGCACAACAATCCTGCATGCAGTGGGGCTCAGAGGAGCCTAAAGGTTGGCCACTGCTGAGAATAGCTGTTATACTATATCGTTTATGGGATAATGACAAGAAAAAAGTCTGGATATGTTCATTACAGGCACAGCTTGTTTCCCAATATTTTCAACCTATAATTGGTTGAATTCTGGAATCCCATGGATAGAGAGAGGTAACTGTATTCCATCACACACATGTTCATATATCATGTGAACATCACATGTTCACACATTAACATGTGTACATCACACATACATATCTCAGAGTTGTTACCTTACAGCATTGTTGAGATTAAATAATACTATATACATATTATTTTAGAAATGTTATTGACATTATCGGAGATTTATTTTCTACCTGTAAAGGCTCTCAAAGATTAAAAACAAAGGCAATTGATTTATTTATAAAAATAGTATTGCATTTGAAAAGGCCTGGCATTCCCCCAGCACAGAGATGGGATTTTTTTACTAGTCCCAAATAACCACCTGACAGCAGGGGTACAGATGTCCTGATCGAGGAGTTACCGTTTTAGGAAAACTTCCAAAATTCTATAATAGAAGAGAAGCCTCACCAAATCCAGAGACCCCAGAAAAAAATAGGCACAGAGATGTCTATTAGAGCAAAGATTGGCTATTTGGGAGCAGAGGGGAGTAAGAATGGTCAAAGCCTCCGTGTTATGTGGCGATGACACTACAAAGTGGATTCTAGACAGGCAGAGGTGGACACAGAGAAATGAATGGCCGAAGGGCTGGAGTGAAACTTATCCAGATGAATTAGATGAAAATATTAATGCCCCATAAAGTCAGGCGTTGTGGTGGGCACCTGCAGTCCCAGCTACTTGGGAGGCTGAGGCAAGAGAATCGCCTAAGCCCAAGAGCTGGAGGTTGCCGTGAGCTGTGACACCATGGCACTCTATTGAGGGTGACAAAGTGAGACTCTGTCTCTAAAAAAAAAAAAAAAAAGAAAGAACGTATTAATGCCCCGAGACCAGCTAGGAGCCTCAGCTGCCTGCACATACAACCCTGGCTGTAAGGGAGGAAAGAAGGAGTGGAAATGCTCCCCCAAAGACATCTTAAGAAATGCAGTGAAAGAACCTAGATCTTGGAGACAGACGTAACATGGGGGAGGACGGCAGTGATTTATGGGGCTCCCCAGGAGTGCACAGACCTGGGGAGAAACTGCTTGGGGAGGCCCTGGGGAGAGAGTGGAGTGGGAAGGAAAATCTTCTGCAGCCTTGCAGATAAGCTCCAAGTTTTGTATCAGGGGGAATCTTCTAGCGGACTGAAAGTGGACACTTCTCACTGCTGAAGCGTAACACAGACGCCAGTGGGCACCGCTCCCTACTCCAGGTTTCTGAGCCTGACGGAAAGGAAGATGTCTGGCCCTGGTGCTAAGGAATCGCTACTGGTTCTTCTCTGGCTTCAAAAGAAATAACTGGTGACAGACAAAACAGCCAGAAAGGAGGATCTAGGATGTCCCAACCCTGCACTGGAAACGCTCACATGGTCACACCTATTTGAGGCTCCTCCCAGATTGGGTCACCAGCTGCCAGCGCGGAAATCCTGCTCTTTCTGCAGGCCCGGCAGCCTGGGCATGCTGGCCCTTTTTGATCTGGGTCCAGGAAACGCCGGGCACTTCCCAGGTTGCAGAACAGATTTTGGGGTTTGCATGGCTAGAATCTTTCTTGTAACAACACGTGGCGCTTAGCTTTCTGAGTGGTAGTGGTGGTGATGGAGGGAAACGAAAGGCCTGGAGCTCTTTGGCCACATAGGGGTCAGTCGTGGGCATATACTGTTGAGAATGTTTTGCTTTTATAAAAATTTTGTGATTCACATGTATTATTTTGGGGGCTTTTTTGTTTAGTTATCACTAAGTTGAGACCTGATTAGAATAGAGTTAGGTTTTTTTGAGCTGTGGGCACACATCTGCGTAGAATACTATATTTATTATAATCAGCATTATTATATTTCTACTGGCTACTGTATGCCAAGCACTGTGTTGGAGATTTTCATAGAGGATCCCAACTCCTTAACAACCATCCTGCAGAGAACAGATTGCTGCTAATTTACAGATGAGCAAAGTGTGGCTCATGAGTTTAAAAATCCTGCCCAGGTCAGAAGGCATTCTATCCTCACGCTTTCTGGCTCCAAGTTCAAGCTTATAATTGAGAGTCACAGTTTTCCACATGTGTTTCTGGTTCTTGCCCATTAGGTCCCATTTCGTGATTCTTGGAGCAGCTTTGTAGAGTAAGAAGG